AGTAGCTGGGATTACAGGTGTGTGCCATCATGCCCAGCTAAGTTTTTCTATCTTTAGTAGATACATATTTAGTATCTTTACATGGTATATTTAGTAGATACACGGCCATGTTGGCCAGATTGGCCTTGAACCCCTGACCTCGTGATCCACTTGACTTGGTCTCCCAAAGTGTTGGGATTACAGGCATGAGCTACCATGCCCGGCAGGAATCACAGTTTTAGGTCACTAGCAGATAAGTGGACATACTCTTGGCAATAGGACTTAATTTGGAAAGAGATGTTCTTTTGGGGTAAAGTGAGTTTGGTGTTTATCTCTGGTACATCTAGAGGAGACTCTGTGAAGTGTGCAGTGAATTGATCACAGAAAAGAGGTAAGAGGCTGGGAGATAGTTAGGGGAGACACATCTGCCTTGCTTGCACTCAGAGGTAATTGGAATTCACAAGGCGGGGGTGAGGGCAGGGTTGATTTTCCAGGCAGGTGAATTTATGGTCAGATTTGGTTTTGGAGACCGAGAATCATGGAGAACAGGCTGGAAAGCCAAGAGATGGTGAGAACTGTGTTAAAAGGCAGTCTGCTATTCCAGTAGCCGAGAATTTAGTTGTATTTAGAAGTGAAAAATTCTGATAACTAAAGAGATGACTGGGCTTACTTAAAATATCTGTGGTAGTTATCTAAGGACAGTTTGAATGACATGGTAAAAGATGAAGCTAAAGCACAGGAGAGAGAAAGGGATTAAAAAGGAAGGTGACTCAATGAGTAGTACTTATTAGTTATAAAAGAAATAGGGTAAGTATTGGCAGATTTAGTTATAAGCATTGCAAGAACCAAAGTAGGAAAAGATTAGGAAGAAGACCTGGGGAACAAGTAGATCCAAGCCTAAAAGTGGAGGGATTGACGTCAGAATTAGGCAAATAGCAGGGCAGAAAGGGATAATTTAGAAAGGGCACTAGGATGGGTACTGCCCCATCTTTAGCATGCAATAAAGTAAGAACTGTTCATTTCTAAACCATAATAAATTGTGGTTGGTCTGGGGAGTGAGAAGGTGGCACACAAGGTTAGTTAGGGCAGCAGATGAAAGAAACTGTTCTATTCTGGATTGTAATTGAGTAATATGGGCATGTGAGATGGGATGGGATTATTTTAGGCAATCTTTTTTTTTTTTTTGAGATGGAGTCACTCTCTGTCGCCAGGCACCAGGCTGGAGTGCAGTGGCACAATCTTGGCTCACTGCAACCTCCACCTCCCAGGTTCAAGCACTTCTCCTACCTCCGCCTCCCGAGTAGTTGGGATTACAGATAGACACCACCACACCTGGCTAATTTTTTTTTTTGTTTTGTTTTTAGTAGAGATGAGGTTTCATCATATTGGCCAGGCTGGTCTTGAACTGCTGACTTTGTGATCCACCTGCCTTGGCCTCCCAAAGTGCTGGGATTACAAGTGTGAGCCACTGCGCCCGGGAATCTTTTTTTTTTGGAGACAAAGTTTTGCTCTTGTTGCCCAGGCTAGAGCAGTGATGTGATCTCTGCTCACTGCAACCTCTGCCTCCTGGGTTCAAGCAGATCTCCTGCCTCAGCCACCTGAGTAGCTGAAATTACAGGCGCCTGCCACCATGCCCAGCCAATTTTGTTTTTGTATTTTTAGTAGAGACAGGGTTTCACCATGTTGACCAGGCTGGTCTCAAACTCCTGACCTGAGATGATCTGCCCGCCTCAGCCTCCCAAAGTGCTGGGATTACAGGCATGAGCTACCATGCCTGGCCTAGGCCGTCTTTCAGCATTTAAAATTTGTATTATCAGAGTTGCAGACTTTTATCTGCAGTAGAGCTTTATCTTGAACCTTTGTTCATTCATTATTATTGTTACTTAAAAAATTTTTTTTCTTTTTTTGAGACAGTCTTATTGTGTTGCCTAGGCTGGAGTACAGTGGCACAATCTGGGCTCACTACAACCCCTGCCTCCTGGGTTCAAGCAATTCTTGTGCTTCAGTCTCCCAAGTATCTAGGATTACAAGGCATGGACCACCATGCCCAGCTAATTTTTTGTGTTTTTAGTAGAGATGGGGTTTTACCATGTTGGCCAGGGTGGTCTTTAACTCCTGACCTCAAGTGATTTGTCTGCCTTTGCCTCCCAAAGTGCTGGGATTATAGGTGTGAGCCACTGTACCCAGCCCATCTTTTATTATTATTTTTTTAATTTCATTTTAGGTTTTGGGGTACATGTGAAGAACATGCAAGATTGTTGCATAGGTACACACATGGCAGTGTGATTTGCTGCCTTCCTCCCCATCACCTATATCTGGCATTTCTCCCCATGCTATCTCTCCCCAACTCCCCACCCCCGCAATGTCCCTCCCCTATTTCCCCCCCCACCCCCGACAGACCCCAGTGTGTGCTGCTCCCCTCCCTGTGTCCATGTGTTCTCATTGTTGAACACCCACCTATGAGTGAGAACATGTGGTGTTTGATTTTCTACTCTTGTGTCAGTTTGCTGAGAATGATAGTTTCCAGGTTCATCCATGTCCCTCCATCTTTTATCATTTAATTCAACCAGTATTTATTGTGCCATGTCCTGTCCTAGGTGCTGGGGGTATGGCAGTGAACAATCGGACGTCTGTGTCCTCTGATTAGATTGAAATCCTAATTGGGGAGATGGATAATAAATAGTAAACATTAAAATACACATAGTATGTCAGATAGTAAAATAGTTTCTACCAGCAGCCTCTTTATGGAGGGACAGTTTGGGTCATGGTGAGCTACACTGATTTGCCTTTGCAAAGGAACTTTTCTCAAGATTTGTTGTTTCACATTGTGGTGCTTCATCTCCAAGTATAGTGTTTGGAAAGTCTGTTGAAAGCTAAAATAGGCTAGGAGTGGTGGCTCATGCCTATAATCCCAGCACTTTGGGAGGCTGGGGCAAGAGGATTGCTTGAAGCCAAGAGTTCTGAGACCAGCATTGGCAACAAAGCAAGAACCCTGTCTCTACAACAAATTAAAAACATAAAAAATTAAGTGCAGTGACATAGCTTTTGCTCCCTGCTACCTGGGTGGCTGAGGCAAGAGGATCGCTTAAACCCAGGAAGTTAGGTCTCCATTGAGCTGTGATCATACCACCGCACTTCAGCTTGGGTGACATTGGGTAACAGAGAGACCCTAACTCCAAAAAAAAAAAAAA